TGATCGACCTTTTAGTTACGTTGCTACACCAAAATATTGCTCCAATAGTGTCTAAAATGAACTCTAGACATAGACAGCTTGAACAAGTAAACCTAATTAGAGTAAGTAAATGTTAAATTGAACGCTTATTTATTTTACTACAATAAAATGGTGTTTCAGTAGTATCTAAAATGAACAGCTAAACATGGGTGTTGAAAGAGAGAAAACGTACAGTGTTTTTGCAATTTGTAGCTTTTATGACTCAATTGAATACGGTATGCATACATGTTCATGGATATTTAGGTTATGCTCACACATAAGCGTTTCTAGAAGGTAAGATGACGTTTATTAGACTAATAATGAATGTTTAATAATAATGCAAGATTGTTTAGGGTAATTGCTTAATATTATTTATTTAAAAATAAATATCAAAAACAAAATCTCACCTATTTTAGATCTTCTCTACAAATACAGCCATCCAAATTATTTCCAATGCAGAATAATTCAGTTTAAACGATTATCTCAAGAATGAAATTTAAAAAATAGTAATTTTAATATAGAGATATATAATTTCTGTTAGCCATGTTGATGTTACAGTAATGTGGATTCAAGGTACCCAGGTCAGTTAGAAGTATCGCTACACATTTGATTACATCGTCTAATGATAGTAGTTCTACTAATGTAAAAGAGATAGAGCCACTGGAAAAATTACACCTTCAAATGGAAGAACAGTAGCAAATAGATTCTCCTTATTGAATGAAACGTCTTACAGCTTCAAGAGCTCGAAATCCTTTCCTACTTTGCTGATTCAGTATTGCGAATCATTTAAACAGATTTTTCTTTTCTTAAAGCGGCACTGTAAGCGGTCATTTTACTGTCACTTCCTTCAAATCGTTAGTTAAAATGCTGCATTAGAATCTTGTTTCTCTAGTTTCGCGATCTTTCTGGGCAATGATAAATTTTTAACCTTATTATTATCCAGAATAATTACTAAATACAAATATTGCAAATACAAACTCTTCGTTGCAACTAGAACTTGCTGGTACATGTGCCGCACTGTCTTGATTAAGGACAAAAACTTCGGGATTCTCATTATCATTGGAAACGAAAAATTAAGTTCCATATTCAATATAACATTCACAGTTTTCCCTCTACAGTATACATAACGCACTGAATTTTCTTAATTTCAAATTAAGTCACAATAGATAATTACCTACAAAAACCGTGTAATATCTGAAGAGTACAAAATTTGAAGATTTTGTAAAATGAATTTTTACATTTGTATTATGTATTTTGTGGAGTTATTATATTATACCGATGATGGAACTTAAAAAAAATTTTCACTGCCCTCCCCGGGATTCGAAATTCGGCCTTCCCGAATACGCTCGTACGCCCTTCCAGTTACACCACGAAGGCATGGGAAAAGGAGGGAGAAAACACTTCACATACTCCCCCTTTTAAAGGGGGCCTGGAGATTAGAGATCTCCATCGCGAAGTCCTGATGGTGACGAATTATCATCCACAGTCTATTCGTTCGAGAGCCGCTTGTAGAGTCATGAGATTATTTTGGAGCAAGAAACGTAAAAACGTGTGCATTGCCTTTGCAGGAATTCGAGCTTTGGACCTTACGAATACGCGCTGAGTATGCTTCCAATAACACACGAAAGCAGCGGAAAAGAAAAAGAAAATTCCTTATAATTTTTCTTGGTGGCCGCGAACCGTCTCTATAAATTTCAAACTTTGGATGAAACCGACCATTTCATCTCCCACAACACGATCGATGAGCAGTTTACATATTGGGAAAACTGTGCTTTCCATCTTTCAAAATTAGGCATACACACAAAAACTTAAATGAAATAAAAGTAATTTATTTTGCACAAGATTGTTCAATTAAGGAAAACGTTACCGTTATAACTAACCAATATTTCTTGGAAGTCACACAAATAATATATTTTCTCCTACGTAACTTGAAAAATTTACTTTAAACCATTTACGCAGCAACCTGATTAAATATTCTATTTCAAATCTATTTAAATACAGCTTGCCTTTTGAGATTCTAAATGCTTATGTAATTTCGAACCCAGAAAGCACCAGTTGCTTGCTTGTGGAGATTTTGCGTCAGAAGGTCATTAATCAACTGAAAATCTTTACTTAAGTTATGCAAAATTACGAAGATAAGAAGATGAGTGAAATTTGAAGCGAAATCTTATTCTAAAAAAATGTACCTCAAGAGTTTGAAGCATAAGCTAAGCAAAATTAATCAAGAATGTTGCCGGGAAAGAGGAATACATCTTAATATAAGATATTTAAAATTTGTTTATGGAATATTTCGAATTTTGCTAGATTAATGAATAGTTGCTAAAACTAAGATTTTGATTTGATTAAGATTTTGCTAGAATGATGAATCATTTCTTAACGATATTCGTCATAAGCATCCGTCGCAAATCTCTTACCTAAGACTAAATTTGAATTAAAAAATTTTAATTCTGGAACTGAGGGATTTTTATTAAAATCCATTGTAACAAATCTAAGATAAAGTGGGGTAAGTGTAGATTGTTTTTATAGTGTTATAATTTAAACCTCTGTACTTTGAATCTAGTATGCAAATACTTAACACTGTCGTCATCAAACGCTTTGCACAGTTATTAGATATTTTAAGTTAAAGTACCTTTTCTATCAAACCTCATTTTATATCCTTCCCAGAATCCAAATTTCCAGCACGCGTGATATTCAAATTAGGTAAGAAGAAGGAAATATTTAAAGGAAGGGTTTGGAAGGTAGATCAGAATGTGTTCTTCCTGCTTGAAAGCCACATTACTAACTTTGCTTCTCTAGCAATTAGAATTATGCGCAGTTGAGGTATTCTTGCTATTAGGCTTGTTTACACCGACATCATATCGGAGCCAGTTCGCGCGATAGTTAAACTATTAAGCCGTTAGGGTCTACCTAAATTCAGCTGTTCAGAATCCTCTTTCCACAGTGTCTCCAGACTCGGATCCGACCATCGTGGTGTTGCAGACAGAAGCGTGACTCGTCAGTAAAGATAATTTCATTCTATTCTACCGTCCACATCCTTCTTTCATCGCACCATTGGCGGCGGAGACGTCTGTGGTTCTGCGTCAAGGGTAAACGAAGCAATGGACGTCTTGCGGACAGACTACTCTGCTGTAAACGGCGTCGAATGGTACGCGTAGACACTGGATGATGGGTTACAGACTGAATGTGCTGTGGTATGGTTCGTGATGTGACTGAGCGATCCGTCACTGCCATCCGCACAATGTTCCTGTCATCACGTGAAGTGGTGCACTGAGGTGGATGCGATCGAACACGTCGTCCGTTGTACCTTCCTGCATCCAACGGTCACATATCCGCATTACAGTTGTTTGGTTTGTCCAACACGACTAGCGATTTCCGTGAAAAATAATCCACACTCTCGGTAGTCCACTATCCTTCATCTGTCGAACTCGGTTACTTGATGGTACGATGATCGCTGTTTACTACGAGGCATAATTCATCGTTTTTTTTGGAAAAAAAAAACACAAGAAAAACACAATTGCCGAAATCGTCGAAAACTCCAAGTCTTAAATAGCGTTTTGAAGTGGCGCCACAGGCGCGTGTGATGTGCGTCTGCGCTGAAATTCTATTCGTTTGCATATCTCACCTCCGCTAATGCATGTTCTAAATTCCATGTTATTTGAATGCTTCCTTCAGGGTATTGCATTTACGGTGGCCAGCAGTGTATTTTAAAGTCTTCCTAATTTCTGAATGTAAGCCTTGGTTATATCATTTTAAAATCTAAAAGAAAACCTAAAATTAGGAGACTTGAAAAATTTTAGTTTATTACTATTCCCTTATTTTTAGTTACAATTTGTTCCTCATTTATAATACAGTAGAGGAAGTACCCGATGGCAGTTATGTTAGATTGAGTGTAATGCATCTAACAAGAGAGAAAACGATAAAACGATACCTTTGTAATATTTCTCTAATAACAATGCAAAAAATATTATTCGTAGTCATATATTTTTCAGTATGTTGCGATATGGGACCTCCATTAAAAACTTTGATAGAAAAGTGAACTTATTCTTTATCATTAACAACAAGGGTACGCAGGTTTTAATGATTTTAGTCTTTCTAATCAAATGGTCGTAAAAGCTCACGTTCCATCCAATATTTCACCTATATTCAATTTTAGTCGATTAATTATGGCAAAAAACGTATGCTAATTGAACAGAAATCGTTTACGCGAACAAACAAACAAAAAAAAAATACACAAACAGACAATAGGTTCTGTAAAACTTACAAATTTCTGATTAACAAACTCTACAATTTGAAAGCAACACTTCTCGAAATAAACGCAGATTCTTACCAGCGTGCGAGACTGTTGCCACTCGAGGAAAAAAAGGGCGAAATTAGCGTTTTCATAGTTTTTAATTAATATCTCTAATTTTAGCAGTTTTTTTTTAAAGAAATTGAACATCGACCTTTCCCAAGACCCAGAAAAGAATTGTAGAAAGTTTGGTGACGATAGCTATAATAGTGACTGAGTTAATCGCGCACAAACAAACACACAAACATACGTCCTTCTATATATAGATAATCATTTTTAAAAAATTATTTCCTTGTAAACTTGTAATGTATTTTATAAAAAGTGCGGGAAATGTTTATTTATAATTGAAAGTTTAAATATACTTTCTTTTCAAAGCTTTTCCTCCTTGATAGCATGTATCATTTTTATAGCTACCATGAATTTCATGATTTTACAATTGACCATTGTGGCAAACGTCTTGATTTTGTTTATCACGATTTGCATTTAAAAAAGTTGATAATATTCGAAAATAAACTTTTCATATTACATAAATACATTCTTTAAAACTTCCGGTCATAAACGTTTCAAATCACATAGATTTAGTCTTTAAAACTGATATTTTCTCTTTTGGAGATATAAATTCAAAAAAATAATTTATCTAAATTTTTAATAATACTTACATAATATATAGTAGTTCTTGCTTTTCTCTTTGCAGATGATCCTTGGCAAGCAACATTCAGTCCTGTATTGATAGTCCTTATATGTGTAGTAGTTGTTCTTGTGCTGGTTACCATCACAATCGTTATTGTTGTCAAATCTCGAAACAGAACAGAAAACGAGAAAGGTAAATATTATTGTATACCTTTATTCATTCTTCCTTTAACAGTCCTTTTTAATAGATACATACCTCTAAGAACATATCGCGTCAGTGTGTTTTGAGATATACCAAGTGCAAATATGCACGTAACCCTGGGGTCGTAATCATTAAATGTCTTGATTGTTTGTTACTATCTGTAATTATTCTTTCTTTAATATTCCATTCAATAAGTGCAAATGCCTCATTAATTCAAAGCTAAAATTCAGGAACTGATATTAACATTGAGAAGAATCCTTCATTTTATTATGATTAATCTTAATCTTAGAGACTTTGTGGAAATAGGAACTTGTAGTGCTATACACCAAACCTTGTTTTGGATGTGTATTTTTATGACAGGAATTGTATTGAATTTCAAAATTAAGCCATTATTTCTTTTCATTACTTTCACTTAACATTTCAACAAATATTTCAGTAATTGGCAAGGATAATAGCTACCTTAAATACTCTTATCTAAACTACACTAAGCAATACCATAGTATAGAAAACAAATATATTTTTACTAATTATATAACTTTGTAAAATATGAATAGAAATTACTAAAGAAAGCGAAATATATTTTTATTAAACTAAAGAATAAATAATAAAGATATCATATAAATGTTTTCTAAAATATAAGATTTCATTTCCTTTACTTTTAGTTGGTAAACATATTTCTTGGAAGCATTGAGAAAGTAGAATAAATTTTCAAAAGAATAATTCATTTCTCATGTTTGCAAAGAACATTAATTACCTTTTCGTTAATTAATTTCCACCGTGCTGCATTTAATTCAAATTATGAATGATAATTAATGAATTGAAATTGCCAAATAAAATAATCAGTATTGCATGCTATTTTATTTAAAATACTGAATTGGTCTCTTTGAAGGTATACGAGAAATAACATACAGATAAATATTTTTTTTCAAACAGTCCTAAATATCAGATTACATTGGATATTTTCCGTTATTTTTATGTTTTAAACTTTCAAGTAATTCATTGCAATCTTTATATTTTAATGCAAATTGCTCTGCTCCTAAACCAAAAAGTAAAAAATAGATGCACAACATCTATCAGTAAATTTTAAATTAATTCCAGGGAATGTTACATAAATATAAGTCTGTCGAACGTGTTTTCTAAAAATTTGATAATTAGAATTTTTGCAGTATCCATAATAAATGGTGCAAAAATTTTAAAAAATAAAAAAAAAATCTTAGAATGTCTCTCCCATAATTAAACACTTTATTTTAAAGGTTCAAAATTATCTAATAATATCATGCTTCATTTTTCCCTGAAAAGAGTGAAAGACATTAATTATAAAGTCATCTACTCGGCGTCATTAGTATCATGCGTAATTATTTCATCTACTAGTATGTCGATAACTGAAATTTGAAAATAAAATATTACATTGTTATATGTAAATATTTTTACGTAGGAACACGGAAAAAGTATGCAAATTTATTTGTAATAAATGCGAAATTTCCGGAATTTTAGTTATTCATAGATATTGAATAATTAATTTGAGAAAAACTATCTTTTGAATTTAAACAATAAAAAAACGCTCTTTTTGAACTATAAATATGAAATGAATGCATATAAGGCATAAGATTGCATGGAAAATTCAGCAGAAAATAAATGAAATGAAGTAGAAGTGATTAGTATTTGCCTGGGACATTTCAACATTCTGGTCAAAAACAAGTTTAGTCCACAAGAAATCTAATTTATAATTATTATGAATTCAGAACGTCATAATGTTCCGCATTTGCTTAATATAATTAGAAAAGAAAAACCTGGCATTGTGTATTTTCCAATTTTAAAAAAACGTGCTTTATCAAACAGTAAGAACTATCTATTGTGCTACATTGAAATGGAAGGTACGCAGACCTTTCACAAGGAAGAGATATTTTTCATTTCGTTTTCTAATTTCTATTTATTTTTTCTGTTTAATCGTTGCTAATAATTCAATAAGCATCTTAATGAATGACGTTAATTGTGATAAAAAGTGAGTTAGAAAAGCATTTAAATATTCCAACAGATCCTGTGTCTTAAAACATATATAAACCAATCTAAGTTTTTGCACATATTAAACAATTTAAGAGCGTCATCTTTCATCGTCAAGATAAGTTATTTTTGCGGTTATGTGTCACAAATATCCAGAGTTATATATTTTAGAAAACTAACATTTTGAGTAGCTCAGTTTGTTCTTTATCCAAATATTTTCCGGAAATAACATTATATTTTCAGATGCGTGACAAAATCGTTTACCAGCTCAGTGATATATTGGATACCTGAACCACATTTCTTATATATAAAATCTTTTCCGTCATCATTTGACTTTTGAATTCCTCTCCGCAGTTACAAGGAGTTTTATGAACTTCTGAACTTTTTTAGGAATCATTAACTCAGAATGAGAGATCGTATTTCAATTACTTAAAATTCATGCTTTCTTTTACTTATTCTGATTTCGTAGATTACGAGTTATTACCATAATAATAGTGACTGTTAGCACACTTATCATTTTGTTTTAAATCTGAGGAGTCATGGTGACATTTTTCGAATGACATGGAAAAGAGTGCTCAAAGTTTTAATGTCATTAAACTGGAGCTTATTCTCTTGGCTGTTTAAATTACAATCAGGTTTTTTGTCCAAATATTTTAATATTTTATTCCTTCAATTTGGCAACCATTGCTATCCCATTTTCATCTTTATTCTTCTCTTCGTGCTATTTTACTAGCTGTTCTTGAGTCTGTGTATCCAGAACTTCTACGCTGAATAAACGTTTGTAGCCTGCATCTCTCACAATATCTCTTTCATATCTTCATCACTTAGATTTTAAAATCTTTACCAGCAAAAACATTTATCGCAAACTCTCATGTTGTTATATCTTTTTCAGCGCAGCTTTCTTCTTTTACCATATCAGAGACACGTTTTTGGCACATGAAGTTAAGCTTTCATCGTTTCCAAACCTTAGCAAAAAATTCACTATATGAAAAATAGAGAATTTTTCTAAATGTTACATTTTTTTTTTTTTCATTTTCTTCAGGGGCTAGTCTGAAGAGATTATTTTGAGAAGATGAACAAATATTGAATACGTTATAGATTTTCTTTTTAAATCACATTGTATAGATTATACAAGGAAAACCTGCAGCAATATTTTTAAACTGAAGTATTTATTGCTAATGTTATGTACAATTGTCGCTCAATATGTCGTAACAATTTCAAAGTATTAAAATTACCATGATTAAAAACTTCATTCATTTACATCTATAAAACGTAAGATTACTCAACGAGTTTCAAGAAAAAACTATATTCAGAAATTTCAATATATATTTCAACAAACGGAGTGGAAAAATTAGCACTTTTCAAAGCTTTTCTATAATATTTATTATTATATTTATTTATACTTAGGCGAATATTATATATTTATTTCTTATTCTGGAAATGTATTTTAACTTCGAAGTTAAATGTAGAGCGTCATATATTTTTATCGAGCAACTGATTTTAGTAATTATTTGACCAGATGAAAAACATATTCTTGCGTTTTTTTCTGACACCAGTTGTTGCGTTTTTCTCTTCCTTCACCTTCGTACGCGGTTCGTATGGATTTGGAGTGAATAACGAGGACACTTGATGAAGTATCGAAACACACTTTATTCAGCCAATATTAATCAGAACAGCTCTAACACATTTTTACAGTCGTCGAAGATCTACAATAAACACACTGGAACAATCAGCGACACAGCCTTCACACTGTCAGGTAATATCGGTGGAGACAGCTTCACCGGAAAGTACCAGAGTACAGCTCCCGATTCTGCTCGGTCGTTCTCGGAACTCCACGTACTCTCGAGACTTTCCACGCTACAACTTGCGATTCACTTGACGATGCACGGTTCTCGAATCTTCGGTTCAGTCGTTCCCGGAGCTCAACACGCTCTCTCGACGATGCACTAACCGCGATACACTAAGAGACTCCTTCGTTGAACTCGACGACACACTCGGTGCTCGCTGCCCGGCTGTCAACTCGATCGACTCCGCAGGGATTGGCTCGCTAGATCGCCAGCTATACACCAACTCGCTATACACCAACTCGACACTGAATATCTCGCACTCTAGACGAGGCACTCTCACTCGCCCTCTCGACGAGGCACACTCTGAGACACTAACTGATTGCGGACCAGCAGGGCTTATATAGCTTTCGGCTTGTGTTCGAGGACATTCTGGGCTAAACCGGTAAAAATTCTTTTCAGAAGGTTCTCCATCTGTCCATGGCATATCGCCAATTTTGTCGCCAAATGGGCGATTTCTCGCCAAATGTCACAACCCTGACTTCCCTTGCCATTCCTAAAACTGCTTTGCGGGGAAGCCATCTTAACACGCCTGTACATTTCGTAACAATATGATCTGTAAGGTCTTTTTGCAGTATTATAATTAAAAAAAAAAAAAAAAAAAAAAAAAAAAAAAAAACCTCTTAGAAATATTGTTAAGCATAGAAAAAATAAGCACCTCCTTGAAGAAAATGCAAGCATGTTCTTGCCAATACTAAAATTGTTAGTGCTTTACGAAGAACTTGTTGAGAAGCATACACTTAATCTTCCTACATTGATTTCTTATTTGACGTAGGAAAAATGCTTTACTGGAATCACTCGTGCAGTTTTTAGAAAAGCCAACAATCATGACATCGTATCAGCTGTCTATATACTTTATTAAATTTCTCCGTTTGGATCAAGAGGCCTTTGTTGTCTTCAGAATCATAATTTGAATTTACAGAACAACTGTAATTTGGTCAAGTTTACAGATCAGTTGTTTTCTGCAAGATTCACCAGCCACTCACCAGAATCCCAAGGACAGCATGAAGAATCGCAACCTTATTTAACTTCTTCTTCTGAGGAGTTTTTTTTTTTTTTTTTTATTTTTATTTTTTTTTATTTTTTTATGAGAGTTTGGAAATATATTTTTATGTACGTTTTTACTAATAAGATGACATTTCTTTA